CCGCGCGCTTCCACTGGCCTCGCCGCCCCCCCAGCCAAGCGGGAATCGGGAACCCACCGCCGCGCTCTGCCTTCCCAGCCCCGTCGAGCTGCAGCCGCGGCGGGGACTAGCCCGCCGCCGCCCGGAACTCAGCAGGGACGCAACAATGTGGCCGCGCCGCCCGCGCCCTGCCTTGGCCCCGTCAGCCGAGCAGCATCCCCCGCCGACGCGCTGGGTTCGGTCGGAGCAGCGGCCGGGGCTCCGGAGATTGGCTGCGCCGGGGCGGCCCGCTCCGCCTTCTCGGAAGGCGGCTCTTTGGGAGGGCTGGAGGCGGCCGCACTTGCGCGGCTGCTCCCGAGGGGAGCGGGGCTGGCTGCGCCCACTCGCCCCACCTTCAACGCGCGGGGCAAGCTGGCAGCTCGGGGAAAGGCAGCCGGGCAGGGATGGCGCTTTCGCCCCCGCGTAGCCCGGCTTGGGGCTGTTGGCAGCGGCGGAGCCAGGCTCGCCCGTCGGGTTCCTCGGGGACGGAAAGGGAGAGGAGGGGGAAGTGGGGCCTCCGCTGCACGTGGACATTTCATTTCGATTCCGTTTCTTTTAAGCGTGTTTAAGCCAACAGATACAAGCGCAAACATGATTTTGAAGACACGAAGTGGATACGAATTAAGAGGAATATTAAGACAGGGACGGTAGGCAACCTGCAGCCTCTTAGGAATGGTGTGAGATCGGCAGGAGACCGTTTAAAGTTAAAGTTTTGAGGGTTTGGGGAGGAAACCACAGAGTCAGGTAACACATTCCAGGCGTTGACCAGTCTGTTGCTGGAGTCTTATTTTCTGCAATTGAGTTTGCTATGGTTTACATTCAGTTTGTATCTATTGTGTGCTTGTGTATTGTTGTCGTTGACGTTGAAGTAATTGTTGACTGGTAGGACATTGTAGCAGATAATTTTGTGTATTACGCTTAAGTCCCACCACAGGCAGCATAGTTCTAAGTTGTCCAGGCCCAAAATATCAAGCCTGGTGGTGTAGGGTAGTAATGGCTAACTTTTTTGTCGTCGGGTGCCGAAAGTACACCCGTACCCATAATGCAATGTGAGTGTGACACACACACACCCATGAGCCCCATTCCCTGCACATGTGCTCACAACCCCCCCCCCCGGGCACCTCCCCACTCCCCCACACATTTTGGGCCTAGTAGGCCTCCCTGCAGCCTCCTGGGAGCAAAAACAGGCTGCGGGGAGAGGCTATGCCGCCACTCCCGTGCACTGCACAGACATGAAAATCAACTGGCCAGTGGGAGCTGAGATAGCAATAGCAATAGCAGTTAGACTTATATACCGCTTCATAGGGCTTTCAGCCCACTCTAAGCGGTTTACAGAGTCAGCATATCGCCCCCACAGTCAGATAGATAGATAGATAGATAGAAAGATAGATAGATAGATAGAGATAGATAGACAGAGATATAGATAGATAGATAGATAGATAGATAGATAGATAGACAGAGATATAGATAGATAGATAGATAGATA